GCATTCAAATATTAAAAGAAAAATTATGGCAATAGGAAGTGGAAATGCATGTACAGTTTTAATATTCTATGAATTAAACAAAAGCTATTCAGTTGTTGTGTTTATGTCAATGAGGAAGTAAAAACTGAGGTTTGAGGAATATCACACCGATTGTCCGGCTGTATGAGGTAAATTGTGGATGTATATAGTTTTTGAATATTTGTCTCCTTTATGATATGCTATTATTGAGTTTTACTTCGATTTCAAATCGTATAAGCGAATAAAAATATACAATTGATTATTATTTATGAAAACTTATATAAATGTAACTCCATAAGCATACTGAAAGCAATTAAACCCTTATTTGCCGCATACCCAACCAAATTGAATGCCGTAAGACACAAATTCTTTTTGTTTCTAAAAAAATAAATATTTGACGTCAATTAAAGCACAACCAAAAAACTGAAAAACAAATTTAATTATCTCAGAGTTTTTACTTAATTTATGCCTGCGTTTGATTAGCGCTTTTCCACCTTTCATTCGCAACATTTAGTGCTCATCATATAGATATGTGTATGTGCATATATTCTCTCCGAAATCACTTTTTGTGAAGCTTAATTAGCTTTTGTGAGGATTTAACGCAAAGGGATGGCATACATATACACATACGTATAGGCATGGAAATAGTATATACTTATATGTAAACTTCCACATAATAACTCACCAAGATTTCACGAAATACGCGAATGAGGCAAACAAATATTGTGGTGAAATCTGCCATCACTAAATTAACTCTCTCCCACCTATCAGAGGTAAAGGACATTTGCATAAGACTTCATTCAAACACATATAAATGTATGCAAGTGTGTGCTGAGTGCGAAATAAATGAGTTGAAAAGGTAAATGGAAATGTAAATAAATAAATGAAAGCAAATGTAAATATGTACATATGTATTAATGTATATGGGGGCATAGTCAGTTTTACGAAATGTTCTTAATATAAACACACTACTTATGTACATATATATGAAATATATGTCTTTCTTTTTGAAAGAAATGCCAAAGTCGAAAATTTTCAAACTTCAAACTTTGTACCAAAAAACCTTATATAAAAAAAATTATATAAAAATTTCCCTAAAAGTTTTTGAAAAATAAATCTAAAAATTGCCATAACTTTCTGAATATTTGACTAAAATTATAAAATTAATTATAAGTGATTATTTGGTTGTAACATAAATGAAAATCCTCTCAACAAAATATGTACATATACTGTCTATATATAAGTGTATATGCAAGAACATATGTATGCGTATTGTGTGTTTATAAATATTTATTCACGCCCACAAACGCTAAAAGCAGCTTTTCAAATATTAGCATATTTCCCTATATATTGTGGCATATGTATGTATATTTTATGAGTATGTATGAAACACCGCAATACATGCATGCCAATATAATTTAACCACACATAATGCCCGTATGACGGGTCGTATGAGCGACATTTGGCTGAGATTGCCAATGAATGTGCCAATTGTGTGGCATTTGTGTGGCATTTGTTAAACAAAAGAAATTATCTAAAAAAAAAAGCACGGTCTATAAAGACTGTTGTTATTTTTGTTGTAACCGAAAAAGTATTTCCCAAATATAATTTCGATGAATATTACGGTCAGATAAAAATACGCGTTCTTACAAAGACCCGACTGTCGCCGGCGTACCTTACCAAGGGTAAATTATTGTGCCCCTAGCCCGCAGCGGTTACAAGATTCTTATTACTAGACTTACAGTGTTCCAAATATGAATGCTCTGTGAGACTATAAAATTCATTCAAATCTTATAGCAGCCAAGAACATTTTGGTTTCTTCAACAGCGCTTTAACGTGACCTAATCATGAATATTAATATTTTTCAAACCCGCAAAGAAAGAGTTTCAAGTAAAAAAATATTAAGAAATAGGTTTTTTTCAGCGATACACAGATTAAAAAAAAAAATCATGCATAAGCTTTCTGCAAATAGGTTAGGCACTATATCACCACCCGAAAAAAAATTGTCATATAAACATTTTGAATAACCAAAGAAACAATATGAGAAACGCTTCGAGAACTTAAGATTTTTGTATACACAAATAGGTGAGCCCTTTGTAATAGCTGAAATCATTTCAACGGGCGACTTTCATATTCTCACTTACTTATTTACGTATCTTGATGTTTTTCCAACAAATGGAGGGTCCTATAGTTCATTCTAGATCGAACGTCTAATGGTTGCTTCTGAGGAGCATTCATTTCATAACAGAAATTCACCCGGAGGCCTTGACATTCCACGTACAAGTTAGATACATATATGCATATGAATCATATCAAGTTTCAATATTTACAAAAGCATTTACACAAAACTTCTCTTCCAATGTTACCTCCTTTTGATGACCTATGTATGTATATATAATTATTCAGAATTATACACACACAAAAAATCATGAAGGCAAACACGAAAACCGCGCTAAAATGGAAAATGTGAAATTCCACATGAAATTCTAATTTCAATTCACTTTAACTGTTTACAGCAGTGCATATGTAACATATGTACACTCACAAATACTCATATACATGCATATATGTGCTTATTTATTTGTTGCTTTTTCGACTTCGCTTGTTAGCGTTTATTGAGAGATGAAAGAGATTTGTTGCGCCATATCCTTTTTCGCATATCCTTAAAAGCAAAATTATTTCCCGAAGCTAAATTACATACATACATACACACAAACATACATATGCTTACCTATGAGTTCGTATGTGTAATATGAGCGCGCCTAAAAGGATTTGCTTCTTCGGAAATATGTCGATATATAAAAAATCTATGGAAATTCGTATGAAACTCCACGTTAACAGTATTTTGTCGAAAAACATAAGCTTGAAGGTATGTGTGCACAGACACACATATTTGCACAGTAAAATATTGGCAAAGTATTTGCTTCGTCGCTTCGATTTCGCTGACAGCTTTTTGCTCGAAATCTACTCTCTCATGCTGTGCGCTTTGAAAGTGTTTGAATATTTGTGAAACAAAAGAATCGCACGACGATACAATCGAGAAATATATGCATACACACAATAAATGTGCATACCAATGAGTGTGTGAATATGTGGGTAGATGTACGTGTATGTAATGTATGTAAGCGCTTAGGTGCCCACTTATCAATATGGAAATATTTTATGTGAATTGCAATATTTTGAAAATCGATAAAATCCAGTGGCCCTTAAGAATTGCGGAAGTTTGAAGGCATGTAAATATGTATGTAAAACATACGTGAAGTATTAAGAGTTTACAAAAATTCGTTATTTCCAAAGAAGAAATGTTAGAATTGTTTTCCAATCTAACTTCAAGCTCCGTGCTTGATCTACTTCCGATTTCTTTTATCTAAAAACTGTTTCAAATTATATCGCTTTTTGTACACCTTGAACCTAAGATTAGTATGTATAATTAATATTTCTATTTTTTAAGGCAAATAAAGGTTTTGCTGTGTGTTTAGTGGGATTGGCGAGGAATCATCTGTTACGAGCTGCTCCCCTATGGCCAAACTCTAAATTCGGCCCTCTACTGCCAAAAACTGTACCGCTTGAAAGCAGTACTCATCCAGAAGAGGCCATCTTTGATCAACAGAGGCCGAATTGTGTTCCATTAGGACAACGCCAGGCCACACACGTCTTTGGTGACGCATCAGAAGCGCCAGGAGCTCGGAATGGGCGTCCTAATGCATCCACCTTATAGTCCGGACCTGTTATCAAGTGATTACCATCTTTTCCTGTCCATGGCGAACGAGCTTAATGGTGAGAAGTAAGCCTCAAGAGAGGTCTGTGATAATTGGCTCTCCGAGGTTTTTGCCAATAGGAACGCAGCATTCTACGAGAGGGGTATAATGAAGTACACAAAGTTATCATATTTTGAAAAATCAATAACAAGCAGAATGAACTTTTTACTCGACCTAATATCATCTGTAAAGCAATGTTTTCTCTCATCTGCTGCCATACGTTTGAGTAATTCCACAAAGTGGTCGAGTTCATGTTGTTATTGCATACGCCGGCTTTTTTCTTCAAAATACAACAATTTCGGAACGAATTTTTCTGTCAAGTCCAGCATACCCAAAATATTGAAACCAAAATGTCATGACGTGACTTAATCGATGGGCCAACATCTACTGTGACTTCGCCATTCGTGACTCGGCGGTCGTTCATAACCATTTCGTGCACTTCTCAACGTTTTCATCGGTTTTTGATGTGCTGACGTGGCCAAGGTCTTCGTCATCTTCACCTACTTGAAAGCGGAAAACAGAAAGCTGAAAATTTTATAAAATTTCGGTGAAATATTTTCTTTTATCAAACGAAAACCTACGAGCATTCATCTTAGTGGGTGTCACAGTCTTAGTTCCCCGCTGCAAATTATATCATTCTTTTGAGATATGTATGTAAGTATATCATCATAATAATTAAAAAGCTTGGCAGACAGACACTCCAAGACTTTGAATCTTTAAAGTTCTCGAACACACCTCGTATTTACTCAATTTCGCATTTGGTTTTGATTTCCTTCAGAAACATTGCAAGCTGAACAAATGTTTCGGCAGGAATTAAAAAAAATTTAAGCAGCTTCAAATAAGCCGGTTGATCATTCTTTTCTACAATACGTTGGTAGCAAAGAACCAGAGTTACTGTTGATAGTGCCAGCGTTTGGTACTTTTCGATCACGATATGCTTCTCGTATTTATTTTATTCAAAAATACAAATTTACTCACATAAAACCAACATAAAAGACTCATTTGGTTAGAAACCGAGTACGAAAAACCCGTGGATTATAAATGTCAAAGGAGTTCAGAAAATCTCAATTAATATTTAACTCCTAATTTAAAGCTGTGCATTCATAAAAAGAAATTTTAGTGAATTATTTTTTAAATTTTTTACATTTATTTCTTAAAAAAAACTTCATGAACTTTAATCGCCGTTGCTTTTTGCATAAAATTTCACTTTCTTTAAGATCTCGGTTCACTTTCCCAGAATCATCGCAAACTTAGGCGACTGGAGCAAAGCCAATACGGTTATTGCCCATATCGTATTCACTGTAGTAGAGACCAAGGAAAATATCGCCCAAGATCCAGAAGTCGGTACCGATGTAGCTGACGGCCGGTGAGCACTCACCGTATTCGTTGAGAATGTATTGGGAAGCTGGCACGGAGAAAGTGGTACCTCCAATGACGAATTCCATATCGGGTAAGCTGTCGATGAGTGAGCAATCGACGAGCTCATCACCATCGGGATCGACGACGCTCATGAAGACACTGTAGGCACTGTATGGTGCAACAATGAGGGAGGTGCCAGTATCAGCAATAGCTTGGCAACCGTTACTGCACATAGTCTCACTGTCAATGGTGGCGCCACCCAAACTGAACTGCCAGTAACCTTGTGTGGACACGGAAACGTAAGTGAGACTACCCTCGTACAAGCTGGAATCTGAGCCACCCAAAATCATTTGACCACCCTCGCTAGAAGTACCATTACGTGCCAAATAGAAAGAGAACACATCACTACTGATCAAACCCTGTGTCCACATGTTGTAGAATGGTGGCACTACATCATCAATGGAGATTGTTTGGTAACCCATACCCAAAATACCATCAAAGTTCGAGTTGACGAATGTGGTACCAGGTTCTTGCACAGCTTCAGCGAAAACTTGGTTGCTAATGGTGAGACCAGCTACACGTACGGTATCCTGAGACAAGAAACCAGACAAACTGCCAGAGCCGTATTCGATGGAGAAAGCCTCGCCGTTAGCGACATTAGTGCTGGAAGCGCTGGAGTTGTATCTGTTGTGGCTTTGGCAAGCTTCGTTGCTGGTAGGGCAGGTGGATGATGGTACCCACAAGTTAGAGGAACCAGTATCGAATAGTATCAAGAATTCCTGCGCTGGTGTACCGATGCTGATGATGCCATAGTATTCCAAGTTGAAATCATTATCCAATTCTTCGGTAGCGCTGCGTAAAGCACTGCTCACATTGTATTTGGCGCGCAAGAAAGCGGTTTCAGTTCTCACGGCTGAGCGAGTCCTGTGGAAGTTGGGGTTCTTGTAGATGGGCACACGCACCAAATTGGCTGAAACCACCGCGGCGCAGACGGTTAGGAAAATGAGTAGCTTAAACATTTTGCTGCAAGAAAAATATTTTGAAAATTTCAATTAGAGATTAGCGAATTTCGTTAGTATTTGCTCCAAGTATTATCTTACCCAGCGTTGATATGCAATTTCGACACATATTTTCAGTTCTGTGCTTTTATAGTCGCAGAGTGCGGTGCTATTAGGACTGACTGCGCGCCTTATCAGCGCTATTTGACACATGCAGCTAATTTGGGCACTCCCTACTTACATATATATATAAGTAACCGCTGAAGCGTTTTTGGGCCGAGCTCCTCTTCAAATTAGCTGTAAGCGTCTTAATGTTTTATTCTAGATCACCTCCAAATGGTTGTTGGATTTTTATGAGGAGCTTTTTATTTTATGTCAGAAATACACTCGGAGCGCTTGACGTTCCCTGCCGTGGGCGATCGCAGTTAAAATAATAATTTTTGCATTTTGGTCGTATCAGAATTTGGACCCTTACCTTTCGAATGACCGGACCCAATGCTATCGACTCAGCTAATGCGGCCGCCACTCACTATTTTTAGAATCTGTTAATCCATATGTGCAGTTTTCGTTAATTTTGTGATAATTATTCTCCCACTGCTTAAATGCCATTATCGATTTAGTCTCAAGTGGCAAAGATTAGATGACTCAGTGCAGATAAGCTTATTGGACATCTAATCTTGAGAACACTAAGCTATTAAAAAATTAAATACGAGAAGAGTGTGTTCAGAGTGCTTTTGTGTTATCTCCTATCAATCGACTGAGCTAACGAAGATCTCAACGTGACATAAACACGGTGTATATAAAGGGTGTTATTTTAAATAGCCAACCATAGTCAACGAAAAACCATCTTGACTGCTGGAACCTTTTTCCAATAAGCAAAACTGACGCATCTACGACTCGGAAAATCCTAAATTTATAGCTCCAAAGCCTCTCTATTCTCAATGTGTAACTTTTTGGTGGGGTTTTGGTCGGCGACGAGGTTAGTAGACCTCACTTTATCGAAAATGAAGCCGCATCAACAGTTGCGGTGCATAGATTGCGCTATGGAGAGATGATTCATGATTTTTTATGGCCGAAATTGAAGAGTATTGATCTGGACAACGCTTACTTTCAACACTGATGGCACTACATGCCGCACAAACAACGAAACTATCGATTTTTTAAGAGAGAAGTTTCCCAACCATATTATCTCTCGAAGAGTTAATCGCAATTGTCCACCGGTATTTTGTGATTTACCAATTTGCGACTTCTTTCCTTGAGGCCACATGAAAAATAAGAACTCCGCCAACAGGCCAACGTCAATTCAAGACCTCAAAAATGAAACACGTGAAGCTATTGAGAGCATACAGTGGCCACTTTGCGATTCGATGCTGGAAAATTTCATAAAAAGGACACAGTCATGTAAGCGTAGTTGGAGCGGCTATTTGACTGATATTGGTTGCCATTAGTACTGACATATCTTTCTCTTTACATTAAATCAAAAAATTAAATTTTTCTTTGACTATAAAAATAAAACCTCTTATTTGAAACCCCTGTATTTATTTAATTGCATTATTTAAGTTTCACTATATATTACTAATCATGTGTATAAAATTCTTTGGATGATCCTGATAAAATTTCCCAACAATATTTTTGTAATAAAAACAATATAAACGCCACGCGTGCCAAACTTGATTATCAAAAATCCTAAAATAGTTGCCAAATCAGTAATGAATGGCCAATTAAGTGAGAGCTTAGTATTGCTTAGTAGCCCCACCAATAACCGTTTGTACTTTACTGTATTTACGTATAAAAAAAAATGAAACCTTAAATAAAATTTTAAATTTCGTGTTTTAAAATTAAAATACTACTCGAGAAATTGATAAAATGTTGAAGGATTTTGAAGAGACTTCATTGGGCGCATCGCCTGTGCATCACCGATATTCCCGTCCCACCTTTAATCTCGCTACAGTAAGCGTTAGTGTAGCCCAAAACCCGATTGTCTATATTTATTGAATTCCTTATGAGCAGGCGCTTTTTTACGGTATATTAAGGCAGATTTTGCACTTCAACTTGCAACTTCATATATACAAAGTTCAGCGTATACAACAATTGAAGCCAGTTGTCCTTATACAACGTCCTTGATTTGCTTTTTTCGAACAAAACTTCCTTCAGCGACGAGGCACTTTTCTCCCTTAAATGAGCGAAAAATTCCACGTTTGGAGCAACGAGATTGTAGAGCTGATAATTTCAATAAATAATTGTCAAAAAAACATTTCAAAGGGTGAAATTTATATGCTGCCCACAGACACTTGATCAGGTACTCACTCGTACCGAAAATTACAGAAAGAGGACGACTTCGGAATAAGTATATTTAGATATGAAGTTTTGGGCCAAAAATCTAGAAAAGAGCTGCCAATTGAGATTTGGTATCCCACACACGTATAAACAAATAAAAAAATGTTCACCACAAATCTTAAATTAAAGGCCACCACACAATTTGCAGAACCGAAAACTAAAGTTTAATCATAAAATGAAATACCATAACTTAGATATAGTCATATAAGGTATATACACTTTGGCAAAGCTGAAGTCAGCTTTTCTTTCTTGTTTTCACTTGGCGTCTCAATGTTTTTCTAACAAATGGAGGAGCCTGTGGTGTATACTAAGCCGCCTCCAAAAGGCTAATGGTTTTTTCTTTCTTATGAGGAGCTTTATTTCATGTCAGAAATACAATCGGAGGGGTTCACATTCCCTGCCGAGGGGCGACCGCAGTTAGAAAATTTAACTTAATTTTTTGTTTAAATTAATTCTCTATAACTTTTGGATGTTGGTCGTACCAGGACTTGAAACCGAGTCCTCCAAAATTTCATGAAATACGCGAATGAGGCAAACAAATATTGTGGTGAAATCTGCCATCACTAAATTAACTCTCTCTCATCAAACAGAGATAAAGGACATTTGCATAAGACTTCATTCAAACACACATAAATGTATGCAAATGTGTGCTGAGTGCGAAATAAATGAGTTGAAAAGGTAAATGGAAATGTAAATAAATAAATGAAAGCAAATGTAAATATGTACATATGTATTAATGTATATGGGGGCATTGTCAGTTCTACGAAATGTTCTTAATATAAACACACTACTTACGTACATACATGTATATATGTAATATATGTCTGTCTTTTTGAAAGAAATGCCAAAGTCAAAAATTTTTAAACTTCAATATTTGTGGCAAAAATTTTTAATTTATATTTTGTATAAAAATTTCACTAAAAGTTTTTAAAAACAAAATTATAAAAATTGCCATAATTTTCTGAATATTTGACTAAAATTAAAAAATTAAATATAAGTGATTATTTGGTTGTAACATAAATGAAAATCCTCTCAACAAAATATGTACGTATACTGTCTATATATGCAAATACAATATGCATAAGAGTTGTGTGTTTATAAATATTTATTCACGCCCACAAACGCTAAAAGCAGCATTTCAAATATTAGCATATTTCCCTATATATTGTGGCATATGTATGTATATTTTATAAGTATGTATGAAACACCGCAATACATGCATGCCAATACAATTTAACCACACATAATGCCCGTATGACGGGTCGTATGAGCGACATTTGGCTGAGATTGCCAAAGAATGTGCCAATTGTGTGACATTTGTTAAACCAAAAGATCTGAGTATCTTCAATTACATTTACATTTATATACAAGCATATTACTGGGGCATAACTTTTGTATTTAAATAAAAGTTAAATAAAAGCATTTCACTGCGAATTTATTGCATTAAGCTTGAAAAGACTTTATTGAAACCCGAAGGCATTGAAAGTTATCAAATTTTCACATAAAACTTTAGCCAAAAGCAATATTGAAAAAAGCAGACTGCTTTCATACATTTGCCTTTTTTCGTTGTTCTACTACGAAATTCTGCAGAGAAATTCGTATATAATTCGTATACCTTTCTTGTACAAGAGGCATTAACTTTGGTTTGTGGTAAGTACCAAAAGGACATGATATGATCAGAACACCAAGCTGAGTTCATTTCGTGTGTACGCAAACTAATCCATCATTTTTTTAGCTATTTCAACCAAACTTTTCATACAGATGCACTGGTACCAAGCAGATCGAACCATTATTGCATATACACGACCAACTTCTAATACTAGATATCTACGATCACGAAACCTGGTAATTTTTGATACTGAAAATTAACAAAATTGGACCATTATATTATAAAGCCTAAACACAGCGATTTGTTCAAAAATGAAATTTTGGTCAGAACTCTGTAAGAAAAGCAACTGAGAGCGAGCCATTTAGTGTCACATGTCTGTGCCTCTAATTAAACTTGGACACCGAAAACCAGCGTAATCGGCGAACTATATGTTATAGCCCCCTTGAACAAGTTTTCGAGATATGAGAATACTTTTTTAAACCTAAATAAAATATCATAAATTTTATTTAGCTTTGAAAGTTGTAAAGACGTCATCATGTTCTAAGAGAATTCTTTTCATTACTGTCTATTTTAGAGTTGCTTATTTACTTTTAAAATAATTATTTTTTTTTTATTCTACAAATAACAAAAAATCATATTTTAAGTTTTTACATTTAAATTTTTTTATTAAATTTGAATTTTTTAATATCTTTTGAATAGTATTTTTCTTAGTATTTTTATTCTTCTTATTTTTTTTATTTGCTTCTTTAATATTAATTTAACTTTAACATATTTTTTAAATTTATTAACTAATATTTATTATATTTATTTATAATTTTTTTTTTAATCTATTTTAATTTAGTTATGTTTATCCATATTATTTAGAATAACAATATAAGTTATATTTTTTTTTATTGATGTTTTTATTATTATTAACACTACTTTTTTTTTGTTATTCTTTTTAATTTGTGCAACATTTATACATATATTAGCGTCGTTTTGCTGGATATTATTTCCTACAGAAATGAGAAATTATAAATGGCAATTGCCTGGCAACTCATGAAGTGTACCAACAATCAAGAAAATCGTTGCATACTTCTAGGCACAACGTAAGATAATCAGTGTTGTGCTAACTTTTTTTCCCACTATAATTTAAGCTGTTCGGTTTTTTGTGCTTTTTTCCTTGAATTTTAATTTGACGTCAAATAAACAAATGTTTACACTTTTTTGTCATTTGGCTTTACAAATTTATTTGCTCTTCATGGACAATTTCAATTAAATAATCCTCAATAACCAGAGAGTACACTTACACTTTCACTTATTTAAATATTAGAGCTACTACACCTTATCTGGAGAATCTAATATCTATTACGGGCCAAAAATTAAAAAATGCCATGAAAACAAAGACACGAATGAAAAATTTTACTGCTGACAGTATTTAAGACAAAGACTAAAATTTGGGACCTTGAGCCCAGAATAGTTAGATCTTCATTCTGCAATAGCAAAAAATTTAATCTCATTTTGCTGTCAACCAAGAGATTTGACATCTATCACAGTTGCCATTAGAAGGAGCGTTCATTAATGGCTTGATTTATGGCAGGAAGAGAGCCAGGACTTTATACATAGACAGATTTCACATATAAAAGAGTTCCCAACAATTGAATTTTTTTCGTCTACATCCGATAAGAAAGGATGCTTTCCATGTACAGTGGACTTAAGCGCATGTTTCTGAAATGAGAGGTTCATCAATTGTTTGGGTAACTCATGATAGAGCAGTGGTATAATAAAATACAGCGGCATAATAAGCAGCTCCACTAAAGACACCAATCTCGAAAGTATCCAACGTATTGATCAACGCTTTCGTAGCGGTCAAAAACAGGTGAACAAAAAAATTATTACCAGATTTTTGTAGCTCGGTTAGATGAGAGTAATCTGCGATGATCAAAAATTCACTCCGACCTTTTTGCAGCCAAGATACGTACACGTACCATAGAACCAATTCGAGCCATTCAGCAAGAAGCAAAAATTCTTATAGATGCACAGTCCTTTTGGTTTGTCCATCCCATTTATTTGTACGTAAACTAGACACTCATTTTTGAGATATTTTAACCAAATTGGATGAATGATACAGTGAAAATGCTGTAAAATTCCTTCCAAAAAAAATTAGTCCGTTCAGAATAATTTGTTTTTGCTTGCTTTCTCGCCAAAAATTTTCGACACTTTTCTGAGGACATTCGATTTTTTGCAGAGAATCCGTCAAAGAGACATGTAAATTTAAATTAGTATTTATTGATACCGTAAAGCATAGCAATACCGCCCTCATATAACCGATTTGTTCAGTAAATAAAATATCATGAATTTAATACGGTCAGAACGTTGTAAAGCCAATGCTGAGTTGCACGTTCTATTAAACAGTGCATCCCAGGGATCAATCAGGGATGCAAGCGAAACCGTAGGGTTGCCATGGTGATACCGCCATGAAAGTACTATCTTCACCTTATCAAATGTTCGAAACTTATGTGAACCCTATCAAATCAAGGAGACAATCAAGGAGACGTTTTGCTGAAGCTCGCTCAGTGAGACAGTCAATGCAGTATTTTTCGATGAACTTGTGCCCCGCAGAGGCAGGGGTAGTGCACATATAAGCTCTTTCCCATTTTCGTCCCTAAAGCTGCGGCAAAACTCTTAAAAGTGATAGATCATACTTTCCCCTTGAAGCCACACTGAACAGCGACCTCATTTTACAGCTTTATGCTTAAGAACCGCTTATGAAGGATAATATGTATTGATCTTTTCACGTCCATCTTTGACCATAGCTGCCTGCAAGAAGATTGTTTTCTCTCGCAACTACTTGTGTCTGAATCCCCAGATCCCGGCAGCGTTTAATACATATATTGCAACCATTAATTTAAATAACTAGCGGGTGTATACTATGATTGCAAAGATTTCTATTTGGCAGACACGACAATGGTCTGGTGGTCTCATGCTCATATTCGTTACGAACATCGGATTATATGTGGTTGTTGTTGTTAGGACCGCAAAGAGACAGTGGCTTTCACAACCCACATTGTCTGGGAATTTTTAGCCATCTACAAAGATATCCATTGCTTCCTTTTTGAGGTCGTTAGTGTTTTCCTGCTCGTTTGGGTTTGGGATTCTTATGTGAAAGAGATTGCCGAAGCGTCCAGCCAACTTTTACAACACTTCTTCAAGAGATAATATATGTATGTGTACTTTCCACATTTCACTCAAGCTTTAATTACATTCAATCTGATTGCCTAGCAGTTCACTTGCGATTTTCCGTACAGGCCCGAAAGTTAGCAGTGCCTTTGAGGGAGTTGATGACAGAGCTCCTGTTACGAGGATAGCACTACCCACCCACCGTTACCGTTGAGCTCTCTTTAGTTGGTGTCTGCAATTAATTTTCTCAAATTCCGGTCACCATATGTTGACACCGTATAGAAGAATTGGTCAATCTGACCAAGATAAATCCAGTACACAATATTCGGTCTTCGATGCCATATTTCTTCTATCGCAGTTTTTCAAGGCTTAAGTGGAGTTATAATTTGCATATATCTAAATCATATGAATTTTCAATATTTACAACAACATTTTTATGAATATGACATTTTGCATACTGTTTATGACATATGAACGAATACACAGCCTTACATACATATAAGCAAAGCTATAAATATGCATGAAGGCAAACACGAAAACCGCGCTAAAATGGAAAATGTGAAATTTCACATGAAATTCTAATTTCAATTCACTTTAACTGTTTACAGCAGTGCATATGTAACATACGTGTGTGTATTCTCACAAATACTCACACACATATATATGTGCTTATCCGTTTGTTGCTTTTTCGACTTCGCTTGTTAGCGTTTATTGAGAGATGAAAGAGATTTGTTGCACCATATCCTTTTTCGCATATCCTTAAAAGCAAAATTATTTCCCGAAGCTAAATTACATACATACATACACACTTACATACTCATGCTTACCTATGTGTAATATGAGCGCGCCTAAAAGGATTTGCTTCTTCGGAAATATGTCGATATATAAAAAATCTATGGAAATTCGTATGAAACTCTACGTTAACAGTATTTTATCGAAAAACATAAGCTTGAAGGTATGTGTGCACAGACACACATATTTGCACAGTAAAATATTGGCAAAGTATTTGCTTCATCGCTTCGATTTCACTGACAGCTTTGTGCTCGAAATCTACTCTCTCATGCTGTGCGCTTTGAAAGTGTTTGGATATTTGTGAAACAAAAGAATTGCACGACGATACAATCGAGAAATATATACATACATACAATATATGTGAATACCAATGAGTGTGTGAGTATGTGGGTAGATGTACATGTATGTTATGTATGTAAGCGCTTAGGTGCCCACTTATTAATATGGAAATATTTTATGTGAATTGCAATATTTTAAAAATCGATAAAATCCTGTGGCCCTTAAGAATTGCGGAAGTTTTAAGGCATGTAAATATGTATGTAAAACATACGTGAAGTATAAAGAGTTTAAAAAAAAAGTGTTATTTCTAAAGGATTGCTGGACTAAATAGAAAGTCATGCTGAAACGACCTTAGTCCTTAGAATGTGGAGTTTATATTTTTTTATGAGTAAATAAATAAAATAAAATTAAAAAAAAAATGCATTCACACATGCATACACAAAAACGGAAACAAAATGGTTTAGTTTTATTTTTCTCCTTGACGAAGAATTTTATCTGCAAGAGTTCCGAGCTCCCACGAAGAGCAAGGCGAAAATCTAAATCTTTGAAATTCTCGTGTCAAAGCGTTTGCAACAAAATTTCACCGAGACGTAGCTCCATTCCAATCTATTCTGTATATATATACATATATAATATATATTACGTCTAAGAATAGCATGTTAGCTACTTTTCAAAATACCTTTTAGAAAAAAGTTGTATACGGTTCGGTTTACTAGAAATTTTGTGCATAGTAAGCTTTTCGCTTAGATTAGCCGAAAGATCACTTTTCCCTCCAGGAAGTTTACTACGGATTAATCTACTTGAATAAATTGTATTTATACTCCTTTTCAGTTAAAATTTTACTTTCAGAAAGTGTGTCGATCCATTTTGAAATTCATATCCGAATATTTATCCCTCAATTTTGGTTATTATACATTTTTATGTGATACTTTGATTCCGAAACTGGTAGTAATCACCTACAGATATTAATTAAAATTAGTATAATTTAAAAAATGGGACCATATCTTGGGGTTTACGCAAGTAAGGTAAGTTTTTGACCGTCGAATGACCTGGAAGTGCCGGCCAGAAACGATTTATTTACAATTTATTTAGGCAACTTATGACACCCGGTCTAATACCAAGTCTCCTTTGGGTAGCCTACAAATATGCGTTTGAAAGTGAGCTAAAGTGAGAAGGTGGATCCTTTGCGGTGGAGCGTAGGGCTTGGAATCCACCAGATGAAAAATTAAACTCCAATGAAAACCCCAACAAAGCTTCGTATATAGAGACCCTCTCTTGATGATGACTCCGCAAACGTTAAAAAAAATAGCGATTTGACAGTATGCCCTTGAACGCTATGGTCCCCTATTTGGGAAAGTACCGGAGCCCAGCTGGTTAATGGCCTACTAAGATTAAAGGCTGATATCACTTCCGCCTAAGCAGAGCGATGAGCGGGACAAGGACGGAAAAAGGTGTGCCCCTGGTATCTTAATTGACTGCACTCATTTGACCTGGATCCGAATCGTTTGGATTTAAAAAGTTCAGTCCACCATTTTAATAAGTTTATATATACCAGATTAATATTTCTTTCCACATCCAAAGTCAGAAAATTGAAGGAATTATTTAATATATTTTTCACATTTATTTCGCAGCAAATAATAAAACATCATGAACTTTTAGTCGACATGACTTTCAACACAATATTTTAGATATTTCTTAGGCGACTGGAGCAAAGCCAATACGGTTGTTGCCCATATCGAATTCGGTATAGTAAAGACCAATGAAGATATCACCCAAGATCCAGAAGTCGGTACCCATGTAGCTGACGGCAGGTGAGCACTCACCGTAGTCGTTGAGAATGTATTGGGAAGCAGGTACAAGGAAGGTGTTACCACCAATGACGAATTCCATATCGGGCAAGCTGTCGATGAGTGAGCAATCGACGATCTCATCACCATCGGGATCGACGACGTTCATGAAGACACTGTAGGCATTGTATGGTGCAACAATGAGTGAGGTGCCTGTATCAGCAATAGCTTGGCAACCATCACCGCACATAGTCTGGCCACCAATGGTGGCACCACCCAAGCTGAACTGCCAGTAACCTTGCGTCGAGATGGGAACGTAAGTAAGACCACCTTGGTACAAGCTAGAATCAGAGCCACCCAAAATCATTTGACCACCCTGGCTGGAGGTACCATCACGTGCCAAATAGAAGGAGAACACATCACTGCTGATCAAACCCTGAGTCCACATGTTGTAGAATGGTGGCACTACATCATCGTTGGAGATCTGTTGGAAAGCCATGCCCAAAATACCATCAAAGTTCGAGTTGACGAATTGGGTGCCGGGTTCCTGCATAGCTTCAGCGAACACTTGATTTTGGATCTGGAGACCAGCAACATTGACAGTATCCTGAGACAAGAAACCAGACAAACTGCCAGTACCATATTCGATGGAGAAAGCCTCACCATTGGCAACATAAGTACTGGAAGCGCTCGAGTCGTATTGGTTGTGGCTTTGGCATGCTTGGTTGCTGGTGGGGCAGGTGGATGATGGGACCCACAAGTTGGAGGAACCAGAATCGAAGAGCACCAAGAATTCCTGTGGTGGTGTACCAATGGTGATGGTGCCATAGTATGACATATTCAATTCATTGTCCAATTCTTCGGTGGCGCTGCGTAAAGCACTGCTCACATTGTATTTGGCGCGCAAGAAAGCGGTTTCAGTTCTCACGGCTGAGCGAGTCCTGTGGAAGTTGGGGTTCTTGTAGATGGGCACACGCACCAAATTGGCCGAAACCACCGCGGCGCAGACGGTTAGGAAAATGAGTAGCTTAAACATTTTGCTGCAAGAAAAATATTTTGAAAATTTCAATTAGAGATTAGCGAATTTTCGTAGTGTTTACTACAAAGTCTTATCTTACCCAGCGTTGATATACAACTATGCCATAAATTTTCAGCTCATCGCTTTTATAGTCGCAGTGCTCGCGGTGCTATCATGACGAACTGCGCGTCTTATCAGCGCGCTTTTCAACACTTGCAGCTAATTTGGGCTCTCACTGCCTTTAGTTTCTATTAATCAATATTTTTTTGCTCTTGTTTTGTGTCAAAAAACTTCAAGTTTTCGGTGATTTTGAGATAAAAATTAAATAGAGATTAATAAAAAGCACGTAAATTAACTTTATCGATTTACTTCCAAGTGGCACTGATAAGGCGATTTAGTGCAAGAGAACTCAAGGTAGCTTTTTGTCAATTTTTTTTTATTCTTCAATAAACATCTAATCTTGAGAGCGCTGAACTGTTGATAAATAAATTTTGTGTCTACTTATCTGTTATCTCTCTTCAAACAACTAATCTTATAAAGAGCAAGCTATTTTTGGCACTTATATATACTTTTCGAATTCATATATTCATTTTACATATCATCATTTAAAAAATTGTGAGGTACTTTCAGAGGCATATTCATATGTAGCATTTTGTAAATCAAGTCCTTGTAGCCTTTTGCACTGCGTCGTTGTAATTATTGAATTATTATTGAATAAAGAAACACCTTAAAGATTCAACACGTGCGGAAAGTGATTATCACTAGATTGTTGTATAGGTAAGAGGAGGGGAGAGAGTGAGAGAGCATGCGACAGAAGCTTAAAACCGTCTCAGTAGTCGCACTAATTACTTTTTGTACTTTTTCTTACTTTTGTGTCTCAAAAAGAACTGAAATATTTATGTATATGTACATATATAACGGAAAAGAAATATTTTTAAAAATAGTATCAATATTTTAGTCTCTCAAAAGGTGTCTAAAATTTACATAACTTGAGCTTGTGACACTAATGTATGAACAGCTATGCAAATAATATATTACCAACAACAACCTATAAGGAATGCTACTAGTTGTTAACTAAGAAGCTACTAGTTTACATTTGGACACGAACTAGTTCAAGCGCCGTCATTTTCTCAAATTAGCAACTGACATTTTTAACACGTTTTTATGCCAGCTAAGCAACTTCAGCTTTCACTGACAGTATTATTAGTTATAATATTGTAGAACAACCTTTGTCTGTCTGTCTGTTCGCGATAAACTCAAAAGTTACTAAACGAATTTTCATGCATTTTTCAGCAGTACAGTGAATGATTCTTTAGGAAAGTTTACGTAAATAATTAATCAAGTTATGTTAAAATTTTTTATTTCAATTTATTATAAATGTGCAGCCACTATTTTGAGTGAATGTCGAGTTTAGCACAAAAAGTATTTTTCGATTTTTACATTTCTTTGTTTAAAAGAAAATATTTTTTTTTATTTTTTTTTTTTTTTGTGTTTTCCATATGGCAAAATTTTTTACCAAACCCAAATTATTAAAAACTAACAGGGAGCAATGGGATTTGTTCTTAAGATGGTCGATTATTCCAACGCAATGCCAACTGTCGCTTCATACATATTCATTTACATCCTTTTTGATTCTAATGACAACCTCACTGTGAGTGCAAAATTTTTGTGTTTGGTAATGTGTAGCCGAGTGGTAAGCAACGTGCTGCCAATCGGAAGGTCAGAGCTCAAATTCTGGTATTAACAATAACCAAAAGTTCGGCAGGAAATGTCAACCCCTTCGCGTGTATTTCTGATCTGAAATAAAGCTCGTCATAAAAGAAAAACCATCAGCCATTCGGCTGATTTTTATTAATTTAAATCAAAGCCGCATTGGTTAAAATTATGTCAATCAATTTTATAGAAGATAAAATAAACACTTCAATAAAATTATCAGTTCTTTCACAAATTAATGATATTCATCAATATCAACAACAATTTACATTGTCGCATTCATTCCATCAATAAATTTTTGTTTATTTCAGAACTTTATCATTATAACAAGGCGAATTTATAGAACGTGAAGTTGTCACATTATATGATTGCTTGTTCTTCCTTACATTTGAAACAAATTACACCAACAAAATACATTGGATGAATTTCGTTTTTGACTTTTCGAATCCATGATAACACAAACAAAATACACAGTCTTTTTGTCCTTGTATTCTCGCTACTACCGTGTGTGAATTTGCCTTGGCTTCCTCTTTCGTGGTTTCAAAAAAAATGCAGTGATGTATTTTGACATATGTCAAACTTAACTGTAAAGACGAAGCTGTCACTTAATAGTCGCACAATGCGTTGAAATTGGGAAAACGAACTGTATAAATGGTGAGTCAAACGAGCCCGTGCACATAATCGTCTAACTACTGAAGCAAGTGGAAAATTTTTAAGGAAATTTTGAAAGACTGTGTTGCGGTTATGATAAGCCTTGGTGCATCATCGTTTTGCTCATTCCACTTCATATAGAGATACGGTAAGGGTAGCCGAAGAAAGGCATGTTTCCCTCCTTCTAGAGGTTCTCAAGAGCTGGGACATTCTGGAGGCACATTATGGTGTATTTTGCACTTGGACTTACAGGTACAACCATATAAAGTTCAGCTCACACCATAACTCAAGCCAGCTGACCAATTACAATTTGTACAAGCAGTTTTTCGAACAAAATATTCTGCAGCACTGAGGCAAATTTGTCACTCTGCGGTTACGTATATAAGCCAAATTTCCGCATTTGGTGTTCAGAAAATCCGTTAATAATTGAAGAGAAGCCATTACACCACGTGAACAACGAGACCACCACTTTCAATTGGTTGAGTCATGATCGTATGATATCCCAAGCTTTTAGCGCTGCCATGTGGTTCAAACAAGATGGTGCCACATGCCACACAACACTAATGAAAGCGGCTTTATTGCGACGCGTTGATGTGGATAAACCGTTAACTCTTGAGCACTTGAAAAGCAACATTCCGCAAGTTATGGCTCATATATCGCCCAATGTGTGTCGAGAAGGGGTCGAAAATTATCTCAAATGAATCAAAGTTGCAGAAATTCGCACGGAGATCATTTGAATGAAACGATGGCTCGTATAATACCAGATTTAAACTTTATTATAAAAAAGAAAATTCATAAAAAAAACATTATTTTGAATTATTTATTATTTTATATACGTTTATTTTCGAAACTGCAAAATGGATATATGTATATATTGGTCAAGTAAGAAGTTCATTCGGTTTTTATCTAAGGGATGGCGTTACTGTCCATAATACTAGTGTTACGTGTCGCATCATGTTATACTATACGGCGCTGAAAACGTGTTTATTCGCCCAAAAAGTTTGTCTTTGACAGTTTTTTATATGATTGACTCAGTGCGTTGTGAGCGTTCGTCAAATATGGACACCAGCAAAGAGAAAATTCGCTATATTTTACAATTTTTCTTCGAGCAAGGCGAAAAAGCAGCAAAAGCGGCTGAAAAAATTAATTTGGTTTATGGGCCCGATAATGTTAACGAATGTGTAGCACATAAGTGGTCTGCTAGGTTCCGTTCCGTTTAATCTCGATGTCAAAGATGCACAAGATTCTGCTGTGTGTTTGGTGGGATTGGCAAGGAATCATGTACTATGAGCTGCTCCCCTATGGCCAAACGCTCAGGTCGGCTCTCTACTGCCAACAACTTGACTGCTTGAAGGCAGCACTCATCCAAAAGAGGCCGAATTGTGTTCTATCAGGACAACGCCAAGCCGCACACATCGTTAGTGACGCGCTAGAAGCTCCAGGAGTTCGAAAAGGAGGTCCTAATGCACCCACCTTATAGTCCGGACATGGCACCAAGCACTTTATGGCGAGAAGTCGGCCTCAAGAAAAACCTGTGAAAATTGGCCCTCCAAGTTTTTTGCCAATAGGGACGCAGCCTTCTACGAAAGAGGTACAATGAAGTTGGCATCTCGTTAGCAAAAATTTTACGAACAAAACGGCGCATACGAGTATTTGCCTTAAATCGGACAAATGCACACAAAGTTATCATATTTTGAATAATCAATAAAAAAAAAACGAAAGAACTTTTTACTTGACCAATATGTGAGCATTTGTTTGATAATCTCAAATTTTTAATAAAACAAATACAAATTTATCTAATCTCGAATTCGATTTGAATTTAGTTGAAATTCAGTTGTTCATTACGCATTAGATAAGAAATTTCAAAGAACTGTTTTGTTCTTCATTTATTTATGATTAATAACTAAATAATAAACAAGGTATTGGCATTCGCAAAATGTTTATAAACATTTTGATGCAATGGAAATTTTGTGAATTCTTATACTCAAGAGAATTCTATCGCGTACGATCATCCATATCAGCGCAGGGAATCGAAAGAGTTAAGGAAGAATATAGCACGCCCCTCTCCGCTGACGTCAAAATGATTTTTAAGATTGAAAAATTACTAAAACAAAAAGTGGTTCTTTTGTAATTTTTCTTCTTAATGTGGACAAAATTGACGAGTTATTTTACTTACAAGAGCAAACCAGATAAGCACATAAGACACGTCCGTTGATGCTAGATCAGTCTTCGTTTAGAGCTGACTGACTAGCTAAATAATTATTTACCTGTCTTACAAAAACTGCTATCTTCAGCAGTTTGTTCATTGATAATCACCGCAATGACCTGAAGGTCTGAAATCCTCCAAAAATTCCAAAAAGCGAACTACCATGCTGTTCTTATCATCAAGCTTCATTGCAATCGTCAGGAAACTTTGCCCATTACCCTAGTTCTTAAATTAGATAATGTGAGGGAGCAGGAGTTTCATCTCGTCAGCCCGGAGATTTACTCCGCATGGTGTTATGCACAGTTAAAGCGGCTCATGATGGAAAACAGATTGGTTATGCTTCCAATACTTAGCTCTAAATTGACTCATTCTCAAGAGCAAAATACATGAGCTGTTTATTTTGTAGATGCAGTATATTAATTTAGGCGAAAAGTCTTAACACTTAATTAAATGTGCTCTTTCCAATCCACTGAATA